ATCCACGACCTCCGACACTAAACTCTCCTCCTCTTGCATGTTTCCGCTGTCCATAGCGTTCCTTGACAGCGTCGTTTCTAAGTCCCGCTTTTCTTAGTTAAGGCATCAAAGAGAGAAACGTTTCTGTTAAACATTTATGAGGCTTTGTCTTTGTTAAACCAGGATATAAACCTTCTTTACCTGAAAATCCTGGATAGCAGAATTTTGGATCAACTCAATGTGACTACAGAGCATGAATAATTTATCAGCTACAAATTTATGTTCGCTGAGCTGTTAAGGCAGCCTTGATAGTCGCACTTTTGAGAGTGGCTGGACATGCAATAATGCAATTTTATGGGATCGATAAATCTTTGCAACTTGAGAGCATACAGATGAGTATTTCCAATGATAAATATGCAGCATGCCGACGTTTTCTGACTTTATTGTGGATATATGTAATAAAAACAGCAAACAATCGGGTCCTAGCTCCAGCAGGCAGTCACAGGGCGAGATGCAGGTTACACCCCCACCACTACAAAATGTCAGTACATCAAATTTACTTATGAATGATTTATGGTGTTTTTCTGACATTTTATGAAAAATATTCAACATTTAAGGCAAAGTTTGGATGTTTCAGATGAAACCTGAGGAATCTGGTTCTGTTTGGCTTCTAAAGGACTTTTTTCTTTTGTCTGTTTGTCTTTATGTTAACTTCCCACATATGAAACACGAAACCGGCTTTGAGGAGCATTTCTCACATAAACCAAGAATAAATTCAAACAATCCGTAATAATCTAGTCTTCAAAGGTTTCTGGTTTTACCAGCAGGAGCAGAGGCTCCGTTTCCCCTCATCAAAGCCTTCAAGCTCAAACTCCCAAAGGCTTAAAAGGGAAACAAAAAAAAGCAACTTTATCTTCTTTACCTTCTGGCTTTGTCTGACGTATATAGAACGGTCTGTTTAAACTGCCTAATCAGATTTTTACTCCTTAAATCGAATGTTGATCACGTCTTCAGCAGGTTTGTTGTTAAAGTCTGAGGCGCTCCATGAGCCGTGCAGTTTAAAGCAATAAACATGACTCAGCGATTATTGGAAAAAGATCCCAAACTCGATGTTACTGTTTGCTTTGAGACTTCATACCTGACACCTTCTCCTCCATTCTCCGGCTGAGCTGCAGTTCTCACCGATGGCTGCGTTAAACGACACCTTTGACTGACGGGAGGAAATGTCTTATTAGTTTAAACCAGTTCTTGAAACAACGCGGAAAGTTATGGCTGCATAACTCAGGTTAGAATCACAGCTCCTCGCGTTCCGCGATACGCCTCTAGACTCCTTTGGATGGAAGACAAAAGTTAAATAAAAAATGAAAACAGTTGAACGAATGAATTTCCTTAAAGCTGAAGATCAACAGCAGACGCAGAAGAAGGCAAACACGGTCGGTCGTTCATCATAAAATAGAACGTTTGAATAAAATTCAGATTTATGAGTCACAGAAATTCAAACAAGCTGCAGCTTTGCAGAAGATAAAGATGGCGGGCTTTACTAAAAAAACTAAAACTAATTTTTTTGAGAAATTAAAACTCGATAATTGAAGCTCTTTAAATATAGCTGGTTTTTTTCTCAGTGTTTTGTGAACAATAATAATTATACTATTAAGCATTTATGTTAGAAGATATTTTTTAACTAAGAAGCAGAGAGAACATCGTCTCATGCATAACAGAAGCTGTAAAATTTGCTTTAGCTTTAAAACAAAACTAAGATAATGATTTTTTATTATTGGTTTAAAGTTTCCAGCATTATTAAAACTGCATTCCTTAAATGAATTTAGATTGTAAGAAGGTTGGTCTAACCTTAAAGCTGCATAGTCATGTTAAGATTTTTTGAATTTCTATTTTTTTCTGAAAGATGACCACATCCTGCAGATGGATTATCTGTTATTCTTGTGTTTTAGGCTTTATTTTTGCTAAGCTGGTTAGTAAATAAAGTCCTTTACAATAACAGAGGAGGAACCAAACACTGCAGGGTGCAGGGGGCAAACATGGAAGTAGCTTACTGTGGCTAAACTGGTTAGCATCTCCTCGGGAAGGGTGAAATAACTAAGCAATGTTCCAGAGAGTTGAACAGCAGTCAGCGAACCGTATGAACGGCGGGGATCACTGAAGAAGCCGCGTTCAGAAATGGCTGCTAGGTTGATGGTTGCATGAATAAGCATTCTGTTACTATGATAGAAATGCTATTCCTAGTTTTTCAAGGTGTCATTATAAACAGTAGATTGACTGATTGATTGGATTTTATTTTGAAGGTCCAGGTTTTCATACAGCAGCCCAGAGGTCATGGATTAGCGGATCTGGATCCACCTGCTGGCTACCGATTTAAAACATTTATAAATTACCGCATGTTGTCCGACAGTGTCTAACTTCACTTGCTCCTCTTCTCCTGTTAATACGGTAAAGCCCTGGGGAGCGTCCGGCTCCAGGCTGCACGTGATCCAAATGAGCCAATGAGCTGTCAGTCTGGGTTGCTGCTGCTGCTACTTTTAGACACAGCAGGCAAACCTGTGGCAAGCCGGGCGATGGGAAAGAAGGAGAAGACCATGAGAAAAAGAGAGCAGAGAACATAATCAAAAATAAATGAGCAACTTGATTATAATTAAATCTTTACTGGTTGATGATTTTCTTTATTCTGACCCCGCTGATTTTTAATTGGTTACCGCTGCAGCAGCCCAACAAATCCTTGTTTTGTTTAAAAAACATGTAAATTGAAACAGACGAACGGGTCCACCCCTTTGGAATGGGGGTCGTTCGGCTTTGTCTTGTCCAGAGGAGGGCGCTCTTCTGTGTTGGGCCGTCTGTGGAGAGGATGTTTGGTTTCTTTAATATAAAGATCAGATCATTCCTCGCTGCATTGAACTGCAGACACTCTGCTCAGATTAGGTCTGGAGGTTTTATCCTCAGGATGCCCTCCGGTTAAGATCGATTGATCTTAAAATCATCCGATTGAACTCAACAGAACATGCCTTTGTTCATCTCTATGAATTTAGTGCAAAACGTTTAAAGTCTTAACTGTTTCATGTTTCAGGAGGGAAAAGAAATGAGCAGGCTTTGCACTGCAATAGCAAAGAGTTGTTATATTATTATAATGGCCTTATCTAACTTTTATTCATTTTAATTATTTCTTTGAAGCTATACTCATCTTTTTTTTTTATTATAGCCCGTCGTTAAGCTTGTCCCAGGATACTGAGCGCCACAGCCAAATGTTAAATTGATTCTTCAGTGAAATTATTAGAGATGATCTGCAAATTACAGAGGCGGTGCCTGAACTAATATGCA